CCAGCAGCAGAAGACAGAAGAGAGAGAATGGAAGGGGTGATGGAAGTGGTTGCCTCTCCTGACCCTTCAGCTTTTACTGGCTATGAGGGCTGTGGGATGGAATACCCCACTGGTGAATCCTGGGGTCACTTATCCTGCCTGCTCCTCCCCACAGGTGCGGGGTGCTCTCTGCCCCCCACCATGTGGGATCCAAGCTTAGCAGTGGCCTTGGTCTGCACACCAGTCCCTGGCAGTAACTCTAAACATGAAGTCTTATCACTGCTAAAACCAGGCAGTTTATGAAAATGCTGCTAACTTCAGACAGAGCAATTAATTAGAAGAGCTTGAGCTAAAAAGTAAAATCATTAAGAAGAATCAGCACTGTTTTACCCCAAACCAGGACAAGGTTGAAAGAGTAATGTCTCAAAGTACTATTCCTGATACACAAGGAGGAGTAAAAAGACGTTCAACATTGAAAGACAAAGGAGAGTATTTCTTGTAAAAATTATTGCAAGGATGGGTTTTAGTCCTTTTGGCAATGGAGATGGACTACTAATTCTCTGGTGCTTTGCAGCTCATTTCTTGAGATCAGTGCATCTCTCGGTTATCTTGGTACACTAATTAATATCGTGAGAGACTTTTTAGTGCCAGGGAAAGCCTCTTCCCTGTGAGAGGCTTTGCTTGGACTTTTTTCAGGCAGAATCCCTTTCCAGCTTGGCATTTTGCAAATTTTGTAATAGGCTCTTCTACAGAGAATTTGCAAACAGAAAGAAGTAAAACAATTTGCAAAACCCTGAGAGGAGGCAAGATAGGTTAGAGCCAGTAGTGATGTGTTCCCATTTAATTTTGTTTCTCAAGCAAGAAATGGGAATTTTGTTTCAAGCTTCAACACTTGACTTGGCCAGTCATATCTGTTTCCTGTTCTGATAATCTAGTCACTGAAGTCCGAATTCTGATAAAATGGATAAGACTTTTCCATATCTTGTTTGAGTTATTGTTTCAGTCTGTAGAGGAAGACTAAGGTAAGTGTGCACATTGGTAAAGGTGATGATGTGCCAGAAAGATGAAGAATTTGATTTCTAATGACTATGTCACACTGAGACTGCAACCATTAATATTTGGGGAAGTGTAAGGAGAGAACAAAAGACCCATGTTTTAATGAATGCTGTAGCTAATGGGCAAAAAAAAATACTTGAAGCAAAAATACTAAATAGGAAAAGAGACTCCAAGGAACCAAGTAATACTTGTTTAATAGTGTTCTTAAAGCATTGTCATCTTATTTTGCCCTGTGCTTACGTTGTATATAGTTACATCTTTTCAGGTTATGATTTTAGGGGGCAAACACTATTCTATTCATTTGAACTGTGCAGCTGAAACTCGGTTTCCATTACCCGATCTTTCGCCCTGAAACCATTTGCCAATGTACTGATTTCTAGTATCTGTAAGGACTTTGGTGTTCAGACCACTGTTGGTGTCTTGGATGAAAATGAACAAGCATTCTCTCTTCTTCTTTAGGGTTTTCCAGGTGACTTTGGAAATAGAGGCTCCCCTGGTCCAGATGGGAATCCTGTAAGTAGCAAATTGTGTGTTGATTAACATAGTAAAATCTGTAATACTTGATATTAACTCCCCTCCCAATTGGAAAGGAGACTTTTGCCTCAAAAGCAATGTCTTGAAGTCTGCAAGAAAATATCAGACTCTTACTTCTCTGTGGAAATTGCTAGGACAGTACTGATCGTACAGTGGTGTAAAAGAGAAAAGAACCAGAAAGCTGCTGAGAGAACACAGTTTCTACTGCTGCATGTGATGACTACCTTCAGGATCAAATGTCTTGCTGTCCTTACTGCATTACTGATGCATATTTTGTCTTCAAAAATTCTTGCATTTGATATAACTTTGCATTGCACATTTAAGCCATTATTCTAAAATCATCTTAACAAACTGGGATTCTGCGTATATATCAAACCCCTAGCTATTGTATGCTTATGCATTTGATAATTGATTTCATCCTTTGAAATGTTACTGAAGACAATTATGCTAGTTTGTCATTTAGTGCATTATAATTAGTATGATAACAGCTTTGTCCTTGGCAGTGTGTGCAGGCTAAAGTGCTCTCGTGGTATGGTATTCAGACTGTGGCACAGTCACGTCTCTTCACTGGCTGCCCTCAAAGGAGCTTTGCTCTCTTGCTGTCTCTGGCGCAGCCTCCAAACTCAGGTTTCCTTTGATATGAGAAACCACTGAAAGTGCTTTGGCCCAGACAAGGGAACGGCAGTAAGTGCTGGGCAAAGAAGTAACTGATTTGGATCTGCTTTTATTGTTGGATGCTTCTTTGGAAACTGCTATCAGTTTGTGTCTAAAGGTTTTTCTAAAGGATATGGACCAGATTCAGCAACTGGGCAGAGACAGTCTCCTTTTTGAAGGCCTGCCCTCCTAGTTTCTTAAAAACTTATTTTAAAAAAGCTTTACATGAATTTTGCTGGTGGGTTATCAACACTTGGTCTCAGCATTTTGAAACATAGGAAGAGTATTATTTTGCATTTCTGGTCCCTGAGGCCACGTTCCCCTTGTGGGAATAGCAGGTGATGTCATTATGGTACTTTTCATCTTGAATGCCCTCTGAGGAGTTCCGAGTGTCACCAGCTGCTTTGCAAATGATATAAAAAGGTTAGTTCTTTATTCCCCTCCTGGTACTCCCAAGTCTTCCTCTGTTCCCGATAAAGCAGATACTGTCTTTCTACAAGATCTGCAGAACAGTACTTTAATAGAAACAACCTCAGAAATCGTGGATCTGAAATTGCAGACTTGTGCTTTACAAAGAAGCCTGGTTTCATGCAAGCGTTTCCAAACAAGTTCCTTCTAATCTGCCAAGACAGCTGCTGATCTTACTGCCTTTTCAGACAGGCAGGAACCCCTTTTTCCCCCTCCCCCCTACCCCAAGTTCACCCTGCAGGGCTTGTTCAGGCAAGGGGCCAGAGCTGCAGCTGCAGGGGGCTGCAGTGCTAGTGGGATATTTACAGAGCCTGTTCGTGAGCTGGCACTGGAGAGCAGGCTCTGCCTGGGAGGCCTGTGGTGGCAGGAACTTGAAGGGGAAGGAAGACATTTCTTCCCATGTGCTGACTTGACACTAAAGACATTTGTCTCCATGCCTAATTTCTTCTGCGTAATGGAGTAGTGCCATCTTTCATTTTCACAACACCCTCTCAGTTCTCTGATGATGTTGCTAGAGCATTCATTTTCCTGTGTGGTTAGTTTGGAGCCAGCTGGAGAAGGTGAATGGGCACCAGAGGAGGGAGGAGAGCATGAAGATGTCTTCTATGAGATCCCCAGCAGCCATGCCCTGTCGGACAACTTCAGAAGGGGCTCAGATTTGCTTGCATAGAAATTCCCTTTCACTGCAGGTGCCAGTGGGCTGTGGTGAACCCTGTGTGATATCTGCTGAGTAGCAGGTCCCCAGTGTTGGGACAGCCTGGGCGAAGCATGCTGACCTGGAGGGCTACGATACCCCTTTCATGCATGGCAAAGAGACTTGGCAACTGTTTTCTGTCATGTGTCATGTTTGGAATTTTAGCCTCTACTGAGTTAAACATGCACCAGCGGCAGTAGTAGAGCGCCATTAAATTTATTACTTCTAAATAAGTACAAATACTGTAGTTTTTATCAATAAATAAATTTTCATAAAGAGAGTGTAGCCTTTGATTTGAAAAGATCCTTCTATGAACTGAGCTGGTGTTCCATTTCATTTTTAAAGGAATCTTAACAAACTATCGTGTGGTTTTTGTGGTTTTTTTCACCCCCAAAAAATTTTTTTTTCTTCCCACTTTTAACATTATGGTAACAAGTCTCATATTCCTTGGTTATGCAGGAATGATGCAAATATCTTGATCTAATTCCACAGTCAGGGGTTTTAGTGGTGAGACCCTGGAATGGGTTGCCCAGGGAGGTGGTTGAGGCCCCATCCCTGGGGGTCTTTAAGGCCAGGCTGGATGAGGCTCTGGGCAGCCTGATCTAGTGGGAGGTGTCCCTGCTCATGGCAGAGGGGTTGGAACTGGGGGATCCTTGTGGTCCCTTCCAACCCTGACAGATTCTGATCTGTTTTAGCAGAGGACTTTAGAGCCCTAATGGCTCAATGGTTGGACTTGATGATCTTAAAGGTCCCTTCCAACCTAAAGGATTCTATGATATTCCCCTATACAGTGATAAGCTGTCTTTCTTCAGGAACTCTAAAAAAATCCCAACTGGCTTGTTTACAGATCACTTTTGTTTATCTTATCACAGCAAAGTTTTTTAAATGGTAGGATTCAGAAAATCTAAAATCCATTTTCTTTGAAGGGAATTGTTGGTGGTGTTGGTCCTCCTGGATTTCCAGGACTAAGAGTGAGTACACTTTTATTACTTATACTGATATGGCTTCATTACAATATTTGTCTTGTATGTTTGTGAATTAATAAAACCAAATATAAGAATCCAGGGATTTAAACAGAATTTTATTTAGCCATAATTTTAGTTAAAAACACTGTACAAAACTGCTGTCATATTGAGTACTTCTATGTTTGGGTTGGATTTGTTTGCTTATTTCTGATCCAGTGTGTCTGAGTTTTTTATGTGAAGTAACCAAGTTTGCAAGATTATACCCCTGAAGTCAGCATTACGTTTTGAAAAAATGCAATACTTTCACACATTTTAACATCCACAGCCCTCACTCATTCCTGCATGTGGCTACAAAGTCCAAGCAGGATTAATTCCTACGCAAAATTAAGCAAAATTACTCTGTCTTGTATACAGTACCACATTCAATTTTTAAAAAGTATTTTTAGAATAAGATTCTGATGCACATTATGGAGTTGCAAGCTGTAGTTATATAAATATAGTTGTGCCAGAGAAGTCTGACATGGATGAGTCCTACAGGAAGTGTGAAAGACTGATACTTTCATACCATGTAGTCTTACTCCCTTATTTTAAGTAGTTGAAGTGTTTGCTGATAGAGGACCTGGGTTTGATTCTTGATGTTGGCTCAGGCGAGGCTGGCTACCCTGTCGTGTTCATAGTTCATAACGTGGGAGAAAATAGTATGTTTACACTGGAATTAAGAAAACCAAGAAAGCCATTAGTTTTCTGTTATCTTTTCGTCAGGAAAACCAATTTAGTTTTAGTGTCATTTGTGACATAGAAATGGTGGAAAAGGCACTCTTTATGTAGCCAAAGCAATTTTTGTTTTCTATCTATCAGCAGTTTTAACCAACCTCATAAGCATGTGCTAATGTATAGCAAGGCTGCTGCAGATGGAAGACAACTTAAAAAACTGACAGACTTACTAATTCAACTCTTTTCTTATCAGTGAGGTCATTTTTCAGATTTATTTTTGTGTAGTTCCAGTTCTTTGCTGTAAATTAGGTTAGCCAATATTTCTGGAGACTATGATAGGAATTTCATCAACCTGAATTTTGTAAAGCTGTTTTGGAACTTCTTCCCATTGCTTTTGTAAGCTAAATTTTCCAGTTCGGTATCCCTCTGACTTTTCAATCAATGCTATTGTTACCATAAATAGGCATTTCAAAATATAGTATCATTAATACAGAAATGCCTTGCTGAACTGGAATTGACAGCACAAGTAACAGAAATGTAAACAGTTTATCTTGGCGTCAGCTAAAATGATAGAACATGTCATTGAAGCAGCCATGGAAAGCTAAATCAATATAGAGTGGCAACTTTCCTGGGAGCTTTACCAAGCACCTTTGAGAGACTAAGTCATCAGTCTTCCTTTTTCTTCAGTGAGCCATGAGTCTGATGATGGCTGCAGAAGAATGTTTTTGCTAACATTGCTGAAAGAGTCTCCAGAGGATAATCAGTGTGTGCTGAACTGGAAGTCAGTAGGTGTTCATCTCATCTTTTCCATGTTTCTTTCAGCACGTGGCAAAAGATTTCTATATTCATATTTGTTGCTAAATTTTTGCATAGTCACAGAGGTATAACACTGCCTTTCCACCCTACCCCCATCCCTCTGAGGTAGAACAGGCAGAAAGTAAGTAGACCTTCCTCTATAAGATAGTTTTAGCTATCGCTAAATAATTTCTTAGGTTTGGCTGACCATCTTAAATTAATATTATTGCTGTTGCTCTGTTGATCTTTTAAGATCAATATATATATAAATATAATAATATTTTTTGTTTCTGGTTCACTTTTTCTTTTTCAAGTGGCAAAACTGCCTATAAAAATCCCAGAGGGTATATAGATAGTAAGGGCTTTGAAGTTACATGAGAACAGAAAAAGTCAGCATGGCCATCAGAGCTTACGTTAAGTTTGCACACTTGGAATTTGGAAGAATCCCATCTCTCTTCTTTAACTTTTAGAAGGCATTGAGACATGAGAAATCCTAGTAAAAGTCACTTTTTATGGCACTACTCATGGTAGAATAATTCCTTTAAGCCAAATTTGATACTTGCAGGGTAGTGATGTCATGTAACCCCAAGGACAGAAGGAATAGCTACAGAATGTGCAGCTGCAGTACAGAAGAGAGCTTCCTTATTCTGTAATTGCCCAATGCACTGCTATCTTTTGTTGAGTGCCTAATCTATAGGAAAAGACCAAGTTTGGTTTCTTGAATTTCAGCTGATGTGGTTAAGAACAATAAAGGTGGAGGACTTATAATATGTATCCTTTTTTTCCCCCCAAGAAGTTAGCTTGACAAAGATTTTTGGTTTCTCTCTGTGGTGCAGAAGATACCACATTCTGTTACCAGTCTTCAAGTTACTCCATTTGAGTGAATGTTTAATACAGTCACATTTCTTGCTGTCTTGTAGGGAGGCATTGGCCCAGCAGGACCGAGTGGACCATCAGGAATTCCAGGGCCCATGGTACGGTGCTAAGCAATCCCATGGTCCAGTGCCTGTGCTGCTTTCTAAATTAAGAGAAACAGTGGATTTTTTGTTCTCTTCATTTTAATAGGGTCTCCCAGGGAGTGTGGGACAGCCTGGAATGAAAGGTGATAAGGTGATTTAAATATTTCCGTTATCCTAAAGAGATGTAGTTCTTTCAGAGTCCTCCCATTAAATCCTAAGTAAAATAATGTGTTTCACAAAATTTCCCCTTTTTCCTTTTGACTTCTCTTCTGACTTCTGTTATTTAGAATTACTTCAGTATCATGATGGAGTATTTTAGGCAAACGTTCTTGATGGAGCACTTAGTACTGAGCATAATATCCAGTGCTGTGTCTAATAGAGTGTCCGGGGGGGAAGGGGGGGATGCTTCAGTGCAACATGTTAAATTGTCATTCAAAGGATCTGTGTTCATTTTAAATTCTAAATATTTAATTCATCTTTCTCACTCTCTAATTCTGGTAACTGTCTCATTTTAAGCCATGTACATATGTCTGTATGAAATATGTTGTGTAGGGTGAACATGGCCTTGCAGGAGCACCAGGAGACCAGGGGTACCCCGGAGACAAGGTAATTTATAGTTACATTGTTTTACAACATTGTCCAATTTTATCAACTTTGTCAGAATTCTGAGTCTCTTAAAATGCTGTTAGACTTAACAAGTCTGTGACAGACATAAAAAGTCTGTGGCATAGAAGTAAAGTGCAATAGTAAAAATTACTGGATACCACTGGATTAACATATTATTAAGATATATTGTGCAAATTAAAACTTAGTTATGGAAAGTAATGAACAAAGACAAGTAAAGGGCATGGGCAGAATTCTGGCTGCTGCGTGTTCAGAGGTGCATCAAACAGGAAAATAATTAGGGTATGATCTGAAGCCTGCTAAGAAGCCGTTGTAAAATAAGTTTTTCTCTTGAACCTTGAGGTTCATCTGCAGCTCACCTGGCCCAACTGTGGTTAGCAGCAGCACATCATCTGGCATGCTTCTTCATATAATGAAACTGAGATAAATAAGTATCTTTTATTTGGCTAGTACATCAGAAGTCACTGAAATAACACATCCTGTGAGAACTCTTTTGATGAAAGCTGAATGTTAGAGGACATTCTCATTCTGCAGAATTATTTTGAAGGCTGCTTCAGGTGTCAGTAGTAGTTGTAGTAATCTATTGCTTTCAACATAACACTAGTGTATTTAATAGCTTCCTTTTTTCAGGGTGCGGTTGGTTTACCAGGACCTCCAGGTATTAGAGGAAAGCCAGGACCCCCAGTAAGTTTACACATCAGTTTTTGTTCTCAGTATATCATTATATGTTGTTATATTTGATATTCTGTTGAATATCTATTTGATATCTTACATTCACAGTGCATGTAATCCTCTAGAAGCTACCTAATTCAAAATGCACAGAGAGTAAAATCTAAGCTGCTTTTATTTCTAGTGACTGGTTGGTGAGTGAGTCAGATCCTAATGTGTGATATTTTTTCACAGAGATGAGTATATGGGTCAGATTTTAATATGGGGGTGCTCTGAATATTAGGATATATTCTTTAATGTTCACTTTGTGGGGGGATAGACGTGGTGATAATGATTTAAACAAATCCACTGGTAGCTTTGGGAGTTGTCAAGGTGACCATTTGGGCTGTCTCAATTTGGAGAGAGTGTGGAAAGTCTCATTATTAATTGCCAGTCACCTCTCACAGGGGTGGGAGTACTCATGAATTCCTGTGATTTAATGATTTTTTTAGCAACCTTAAAGTCATCTCTGCAGTTCTGCCACTTCTGCTGGGTTTGTAAATGTTGAGGCAGAAAAGGCATTGAACGGGGTTTTATGGGTTTCTTCTCACCTGTTTTTAGTACTACTACTATGCCTCTTTTCAGTGCGTAATTAAAAGCTGCCAATATATAACACCATTAAAGAGTTAATCACTCTAGTCTCAATTTTCTTCTGTGCAGTCAAGCAATTATCTGATAAGCCTGCTTACACCTCAGGAATGTCATAGGCCCTTAAATGCAATAAAAAATACTCTTTGAACCAGGGAATTTATATTATAAACACTAATCCTGAAAAAAAAACTTAAACCTGCTTGCTTAAGCTTTGATGGGAAAACTCATCCTTTTTGTCCTTAAAGATACAACCATTTTCATTTAAAGATAAGCTTCTGAATTAGTCCATTTCTAAATGTGGATTTTAAGCACAAACTGAATGTGATCAACTTCTTGACTTGTATTAGAGTAAGATATGAGACCTCAGTCCTGCAAGTAATATAATGTTTAACTTTGCAGAATACATTTACAATAAAATAATTTGTTTAATTAAAAAAAAAAATATTTCCAGGTCATGTTTTAATTTTGTTCAATGGACACCTAGTTACGGCAGCAGCAAACTTTTAAAAATGTGGAAGAACAAAAATAATTTAGAGAAATATTTTCATCAGTTTCTAGGTGTGTCAGTATTTGCATATAATGGAATAACTATAATGTGGGTAGGACCTGACATTGCTACTATTCATCACAAAACTGCCATTTTTTTTCCATGATTGTATACTTTAACTATATAGCTAAGAAAGTAAACCAATAACCATAACAGTTACTTTCTGGACTTTTAAATAATATGTAGTTTTTATTGTGAAAACAGCTATATATTCCAAGTGGCTTTTTATACAACTATTTGGGCCATCTCCAAACTGCCAGTTTTATTTGTCTAAAACTAATTTGCAAGTTTTTGTTGTGACTTCAAAGAGATATGAAGAACTAGTCTTGATTGAATCCAAAGAGAGATGGTTAGAAAATTTCCTATTTAGTGGAAAACTCATCTCAACCCTTTCATTTGCTTTCTTCTTTGATGTTTTTTCAGTCTTCATAACAATGTGTTGTTGAAACAGATTATCATCAAAAATCTAACTTTTTGGGTTTGGGATTTTTTTCTTTCCTTTTTAAGGGGAACGTTGGAGATCCTGGATCCCAGGGACCATTGGGTCCTCCAGGACCTGAGGTAAGAAATGCATGGTAGCAAGTTTAAAAATCTTTTTTTTTTTCTTTTTAATTGTCTTGAAGTTATATATTATCAATGATTGCTATTCTGGCCTTAAAAGATACAGTAACTCTGGGAGCATTTCTCGTCAAACCAAGGTTCTATATTCCTACCTTTAAGAGGGAACTCAAGACCTTTTGTCCTCAAAGATCAAATTATTGGGTTTTATTACTTTGTTGTTTATAGCTCCTCTAAATTCTAAAAACACACTTTCTTATTGGGGGTGAGCCCTCATTCAGAGAAAAGTCACTGGGAAATGTGTTGTAGCAACACCAGATGGTCTTTTCAGAAAAAGACAATGTGTTTTAGTTGGTGGGGAGGCAGCATTTTCATGAAAAAGACACAAAGCCTGTGCACACTGCCAACAGCTGCCTTCCTCCGTGGCACAGGATTTTAGACTTTGTGAGCCTATTCACTGTTCATTTGTTCAGGAGTGCAGAATTCTTTAGCCATTAGAATGCAAATAAAGTATTTAATGTTAGATAATTAAAGCTTGAGTGTCCAGGTATTTTTCTTTTAATAATAGTCTGCAAAATGTAAGGCTTAAAACTACAAAACAATGTTTATCTTCAGTCATGCAAGACAGATCCAAATAAAGTAGTTTTGCCTTCTTTTATTTCGTAAAAGCATGGTCACTATATGACAAAGTAGCAGAAACAGAATCAGAGAATCATTTGGGTTGAAAGAGGCCTTCAAGATCGTCTAGTCCAACTGTTAACTCACCACTGTTTGGTCACCACTAAACCATGTCCCTAAGCAGCACCTGACATGTCTTTCAAATACCTCCAGGGATGGTATCTACCATCTACTCTAGGGATGCTGTCCTCCACCACTTCCCTGTGCAAATTCTTCCAGTGCTTGAAAAGTCTTTGGGTGAAGAAATTTTTCCTAAGATCCAGTCTAAACCTCCCTGGCACAACCTGAGGCTGTTTCCTCTTGTCCTGTCACCTGTTACTTGGGAGAAGAGGCTGGCACTCACGTCTCTACAGGCTCCTTTCAGGTAGTTGTAGAGAGTGACAGGTCTCTTCTGAGCCTCCTTTTTTCCAGGCTAAACAACCACAGTTCCCTCAGCTGCTCGTCATAAGGCTTCTTCTCTACACCCTTCACCAGCTTTGTTGCCCTTCAACGGAGGGAGGTAGGACAGCAGTATACCAGGATCTTAAATAAACTGGAAATTCTAGAAGTATTCTAATAGAAGGAGTTTTTTTAAAAAAAGCTTAAAACTGAAGATCGTATCTTACTCTCCGTGTTACTTTTAACCTATTGTTGCCAGAAGCTATTTATACACAACTGAGTATATGAAGTATGAACAATTAGTGCAGATTTTCCTAAAAGAAAAGCATACTGTCATATAGCTAATCATGTCTCTTCTTCTGAAACAGATGGCTATCAAGTCAGATAGGGTTCCTTTCCTCCTTAGTTCATTATCTGAATGGGCTGAATTCCTGTGACTCCATGTAGAAAACAGACATTATATATTAAACTAAATGTTCCCATCGATGTTTCTGGAAACGACAGAATGTGTCGAATTAGTGTCCTACAAGGGGAGTACTTTGAATTTGTTGTGGACGTGACAACCCACACCATATGCCTTTTAGAAAAGTCTGTATTTAAAAAAAAGAAGACAGAATCTGTCAGATCCTGCTTCATATTGTCTCTCCCCTTTTGTCCAACACTAAGACAGTGAAATTTATAAATGTACCTTGTCCCCATGTTAAAGGAAAGAAGAAAGTGGGGATCCTTTGGTCTCTCCAATCACACATTTCAGTATGTATTTCATTTCCAGTATGAAGAATAAGCTGTCATAGTCCTAATTTTCTTCTTGTGTAAACTACTGTAAATCACACACTACAGGAGCTGAAGTCTGTAGCTATCTCTGCACAGAACAACAGTGGGAGCATGCCTGGCAGGCTTCATTCATCCTCCCAGGTTTGTGGCTTTTAATACGCAGGTCAGGGGTGAATTACTTCCTGATTCTTTCCTCTGCAGCTGTGCAGCCTAGGTACAGCAGCTCATAGCTGAAGTAGGCCACCCACCCGTAGCCAGGATCTGTTTGGGAACTGCAGTGCTGATGGACAGGAGTGACTAGAGGGAGGGTTTGAACCCACAGTGGTGTATATACTGTGTATGATGAAGTATGTGATGCTTATTGTTGCTATGAACAAAATTAGACAAGGTTTTAACAGGCTTCCACAGGTATTCAGAATATTGTATACTTAGATTTTTCTCTACAAATCCCATTTAATTATTCCCCAAGAGTAAGGGTGATGGTTTCCTTCAGATGTGCTCTGAGTATTACAAACAGGTTTAATATGGAGTCGTGGGAGCATTGATCATTACCTTCAGTAGAACCTTTTTCATTGGTGCAGTATTTTGATCTGAAGTCGTTGGGTTATTCTTTCAGGAAGGTGCTCATATGGGATTCAGCTGGTAGCTTTCATGCTCGAGGCAATAGCATTACAAAGGAAAAGGATACATTCAAATAATAGTAAACAGTCATAAAGGGACGTGTTTTTGAAGTGAATCACCACACATTTAAAAAAACAGTTATCATGTGATGTTTTGAGATTGTGCAAACAGAACCATGAGTGCAGTGCTAACAGATTTCTGTTTCAGTATTGCATCAAATAGCTTGCATGCCAATGACTTGGAGGAAATACAGAAATAAAGACAATTTTATAGCTGAATTAATTGAGTGTTCTGGCATACAACTGAGGGAACTGGTCTTGTACGATTACTTTCTGCTTGCCTTCACACAAAAACTTTATCTAGTCGTTTCATAGATGTATTTGGCTGAAGTATATCTTCCTGATTTTTTTCAAGAAATGTGTATTCATTTTGCAGAAATACTCAATTTACTTGGACTTTTTAATAACGTTGAACAATGCTTGTTTGTATGACCTTCTAATAGTTTATATTTTTCTCAGTCTGCACCTGTTAGGTCCTAGTCTGTTCCCATAAAACCTCCTTAGGTACTTTGCACAGAATTTGTCATCTTGGAGATTTTGCTTTTTCATGCAAAGCTGTGGTGAGACTTCACTGGGAAAGAAGGGACATGCAGATAAACAAAACTTGATGTGTGTTGCTTTACCAGGGCATTATTTAACACCTAATGTTCTGAATCTGTCTAGAGTGAGGCAAGCTAATATTTAAAAGTTTTTTTTTTTTTTTTTTTTATTTTAAATACCTGTTCTTATTTGACTTTTGGGTTTTGGTGTTGATCTTAGAAGAAACAGTAGTCTTGCAGATAAATTTGAAATTTCTGCCTTAGTTTTTCAGTCTGGCTTTAGTCTAGATGTGATCTGATCTGTATGGGCACACGGTTGTTAGCAGCATAGAAACAATGTACAATGAAATACTCTTCCTGCAAGAGAACAGAGTTCCTTTTGCACAAGGATTATTTCACTATTGGTTGCTAGTCTCTTTTCTAAGGTTTAAAGTTAGGAATTCTTGTTTTTCAAAATGTGCAGAGTTGTTCTTGGTGACTTTACTTAGGCTTTACCTAATCCCAGTGTCAATTGTATCATTAGAAGCATGCCTGAAAGAAGACATGTTCCTTGGACATTAGTCATTTAGCTGGTATTGCAGGACTTGTAACACAAAACCAAGCCCAGATATTTTAGAATAAATACATAATCTGGTGTTTCTGCCCCTTATGAAATGCCCATATTTGATGCTTGTTTTCACATTAAGTCTAAATGAAAGTAATTGGTTAGGTGGCTAAGATCTCCCTGGGCCTTGATTGCTCACCAGACCACCTCTTCTGTGGTGCATCTTGTCGGTTGACTTACAGGATGTCGTCAGGGCAGACAAGGAGACTGTTTCACAGAATTCAACAGCAAGTATAGCTCTAGCCACCCTGTTCCAAGCTCCATCTGGAAATCCTTTGTGATCTTCTGATTGGGTCTGCACTGAAGTTCTTACTAAAGTTTTTAATTTTTCATACTGTATTTTTACAGAATACTTCAAGACTTGGTCCTTAATATGTTGATTGGAGGCTGGTGCTGCTGTGCTGGTCAGTCAGGTGAATCACCAGCCACCTTCTTGGCCATCAAGCAGCCAAGCAGGTCTGCAAAGGACATGTTTTGAAGGGTTGGTGCAGGGCCTTGTTCAAGCTACAATGTAGGCTACAGTAGATATTGCTTGTTATAAATACGATTATTCTAATGTGTGTTGCATGTAATACATAGATGCACTCGATGGCTTTAAAGGATGATGCATCACATCTGGAAAACGGGTCTTTCCCAAGAAAATTGTCTCTCCAAAGAAACTCAGTCACTAGTGTTTCAATGAGCATGGCTGAACAGCAATTAGACGAACGTGCAAAGCAACATCAGCGTTGATATTACTGACATGTTAGTAACAGTAAACTGCAAAGCTTTCCTGTATTGCATGCTGTAATCCATGATTGCCCTTTTTTCATTTCTCTGACAAATTGCAATTGTACAGTTGTAATTTGTACTGTTAGATTCCTTCCTCCACCCTTTCCAAGATCAGAATTGAAGATTTGTAGGAAAAAAATTAAAGTTTCTGTCTCTGCCCTTTAAAAATGCTGGCATTAAACTTTGGCTAGATTGGCACACACAGCAGAAAGCTCATTTCAAATCTTTTTACTGTTTTCCTCTTTGTACTTGGCACGTTATTGGCACTGTCACGCAATTGTATAAATGGCAAAGAGCAAAGTCCTGTAGCTGAGTGAATACTGACATTTCTAGAATTGTGTAGAGAAAAAAAATAGATTTTTTGATTGAATTGTATCTCTGCATAGCATGTCCTTTCAGAAGAATAGTAAACAATTCTTATTTGAGAATAAAAAATCACAGCTCATTGTCACAGATTAGAGAGATTGTAGTTTTATACAGAAATCTGCCTTTTCTAATTTGATAATAATGAGCAGTAAAGCTCTAATAAGCTATCTTGTTGAAGTTCAGTAGCTGTACCCAGTCACTATTGCTTCTGAAAATACATTCTAATTCCTATTCAAATGAAACACAGCATGTGATTGAATGAAACAATACTGGAGCTGGGAAACTTGGCAACTGAAGGGACTATCACAGTCCCTGGGGAATTTTTTGCTGTGTGGTGATCTTCTACGAGCACTTGTGTCCCAGTCCTTTTGAGGTCTCCTGAGGAGCTAGAGGGCATGGGGGTTGGCAACTAAGAGCAGTGGTGGCAAATGTCATGTGGAAATAGGTTGGAGTGAGTGGAGATCTACGAACATAAGAGAATTGCTAGTGCACATGGAGTGTAATTTTCAAACACTTCTGATACTCTGCTTCCGTGTTAGTGGCCACACAGAAGAACAAACAAAAGAAAAGCAACAGCTTTTGCAGATCTTTCATCTTGAAGCACTGACTTCAGTACAAAAAGACATACCATGACACAGTAACAGTCTGATCATCTCTGCATTTTTTATTGATTAAAGATTATATAGATAAATGGGAGCAATAAATGTTAACTTTATATTTAAATATGTTCAGTACAAAAAGTGACGCTTTCATGGCAAGGTTGAAGTGTGTTTGCGTTGACATAGCTGGTACTTCAGATTTTTCTGACATCACCTCTACTTTGATTAAACTGAGTGAACTCTATAGTGTTTTGCTGGCAAAAGGCCACATCTGCAGCAAGATTTTGAAAATAATTTGTAACTTACCAGCTGTCTGGCTTTTGGCTGATGGGAAGATAAGAATCTATACTTTGCATTTCCTTAGTAGAAGTCATAATATTGAGTGATTTTTTGTTCTAAATAGTCTCTGCTGAAAATTACATTGCAGATGGCAACTATACATTTATCTCTTGGCCTTTCACTTACAGAAGAATAATGAATTTTTAGTCTGGAGTAGCTTAACAGGGAGCTGGCTGCTGAATAATTCTTGGCAGGTTTCAGGTGCAGGTAGAAATTTATACCACTTCTTCTCAGAATCTGAATGACAAACACTGTTACTAAGGTGTTTTAACAACTCCTTTCTGGTTTATTAATTTTCTGGAATTATCTTAAGTGGCTATCTGTTTCCTCCATTATTGCATCATGGATTATTAATGTGAGAACATCTTAGAATTAGTGTTCTAATACTGCCATAGCATCTATATTTTCTCTGTAGTAGTGCTCAAGAAGTAAACACTAAATCCAGCTTTACAACAAAGACAAAAGCAATGAAGATTTTAAACATTTAAATGCGTTGTTAGTGTTGATGCTCTCAGGCCAGTAGCCCTCTGACATCCTGACTGTGGCTAACATGGAAAGGTTTCCAAATGTTGTGATTGTTCTGTGATAGTGCTTACATCTCATAGTTCTTACTGAATTCCTCCTAGAAGTTGTTACAAAAATAAATAAATTAGATGTATTCCCTTACACTCCCCATAGACATTTTTCTTAACAGATTGTTTTCTGGAATATTGCTATGAGGGGAATTGTCTCTGTGTCAGCATTTTAAGACTTGGTTCACACATTAGAAAATTAACTGTTTACAGATGTACGAAACAACCCACACCTTGGTAACTCTTCAATGTATGTAAATAAGCAAATGTTAAATTAAGAAAGGATGATTTAGTGGCTTCCAAGGAGTTGATATAACTCTTCAGTATATTTCAGTAGATTTTAAAAAATCCCCATATGAACTGTATAGAAATCTGGGCTGGTGTAAGTGAATACTTTAGGAGTCAGTCTGGGTGCCTTGGTCATATGTGCATCATATGCTATGTGCCACCTAGAGGCATGTTGGAGTTGTTGCACAACTGTAATGGTGCTTTATGGCAAAAGAAATTACCTCCGATGTTTTGTGAAACGAACTTCCACTTATTCTGAAAGCTCGGATCAGTTCTTTTTAACTCTAGTAGTTTGCTTTAGTGCTCATTGGTATTCAAGTGCTAAAACTGCTTTGTTTTGATAAATCATAATTCTGTTTTGTATTGGTTTATACATTTTTTTTAATGTAATGTATAAACATAACAAAAAATATTTGTATCCCATCTAAATCTCTACTTACAAGTCTCTCTGCATCCTGTTAATAACAGGTTAGAGAAAGCAAACAGAAGAAAGCCCTAGAAATAAGAACAATGATGCCCTAAATCCTTTTAAACTTTTATTATAATGTGGTAGTAGAGAGTGAAATGATATTTTCATTTAAACTCCTTGCTTTAGTATGATTTCTCTTTTCCTTGCTGGTAAGGTGGTTTGTGGTTTGTGTGTTTTTGGGTTTATTTTGTGACTGTCAGCTAATTACGAATAATCATTAGGACTTGTTATTACCTGTATTTGAAGCTGAGCTGTTCTGGAAGAATAGAATATGGCTATCTATTATCCAGCTAGTGAAGCAATTTAATTTTTTTTTTTTCTTAAATGTTTCTTTCCTGCTTAAAGAACCTAAAAAGTGACTTTTGAAGCTTTAATGATGACATGTACTAGCCTGCATTAGTATGGGAAAGTCCCAGAGAGAGTTTCATGCTGGAAGTTCTTTAAAACATGAGATGTTCTTAAATTGCTTTCAATGTGTATGATGCTTTCATTTCCATTATTAGAAAAGTGTGCATGCAAAGATGTACATTTATAATTTTTTACCTGCAGGAATTTTCTGTTAAGGAAGAAGGAAATGTGTTTACTAGTGTTAGGTCATGGATTTGCGCAGATGTAATTATAAATATTTTACTCAGAAGAGGAACTCTTCAGTTTCAGTCTTGTTATTTTCAGAAAGGCAATATTTAATTAAGTTCTAAAAGTTTATTAAAATAACCAAATAAAATACTGTCTTGGTAGGTGACAGAGTGAGTCCTGTGTGAACTAAAGAGTCAATTACCAACGCTTTACTTTAATCCTAGAGATATAAAGATTACATTGCTTCACTGGATGTTTATAAATCTAACTTGTTACTGTATTGCAGAAGGGTTAGCTGCATAATTTTTTTTTTCCATAAAATACACTCATTCCTTAGAAAGCAATCTTGTTGTAGCACTGGATTCCTCTGACATAGAAGCATCTTCGTGGTGTCCTATTCAGTGCCTACTGACTGGGTGGTTTGGGTTGATAATTTTAGTTGATTTATTTCCTTTGCATATTCATTTTTTCTGTACCAACAGGTGAACCTATACCACACACTATTTCACAAAGGTTTCTTGTGAATAATGCTACATGCCGCTGACCTTCAGTTATTGCCAGCCAGACCTGGATTAGCACCTGCTGATCTGGAGGCAAAAGGCTTTCTACCCTTTTCTTAATATTGTAGTGATCTCTTCCTTAAAGTGTGGCCAAGGATCAAAAGGCTTCAGCTGCTCTCTAAGATTAAAAAAAAAAAAAAAAAAAAAAGTTGAATTCATGTACAGGACCTTGTACTGGTTGCTTTTTGGGTTTTTTTTAATTTTTTTTTTTTTTTAAGGCCAGTCCAAGGTTTAATTTCAAATGTTGCTTAGTGGATAAGAAGTCTTATGCTCCCATACTGACATCTGCTAAGTTGAGTTTAATGAAAGCTGTCTCAAATCTGTAACTTTTTCAAGTCCTTGCAAGGAAACTTAGTGGAGATGGACTTTTTTGGGATGGTAGAACAAATGTATTTCTTGTTTCTGTGATTCAGGTGTGTTAAGTGAATGAACGGAATGAAAACAAGTACATTGGAAACACTCCTTATCTCTAAATAAATGTTCTGTGTGATTTCTTTAGGGTTTTCCAGGAGATATTGGTGTACCTGGATTAAACGGCCCTGAAGGTCCGAAGGTAAGCCTATATGAAAACTTATTCACATAAGTAAGAATAAACAGGATAAATCTCTGAGGAAAATCTCTGATAGATGGACACTGGCATTATGAGAAGATAATTTTCCTGTCAAAATGCAGATACTTTGCCTCAGGTATTTATATGAGGAAGCTAATCTAATGTTTAATGCTGTTCACACAGTTATGAGAGTAATTACTGTGTTAGTTGGAAGCATGTAATGGCAAGTTAAGTGCAAGGAAATTTAGAGAAAATGCTATGTAGCTGGAAAGAAGCATGCATTTCAACTATAGTTAAATAAAATGCATGCCAAATGCTTGCAGATATCTATAACCTCACCTGAATAATACAGATTAGTCTTAAAAAAAAAAAAAAGGAAATAAATAGTAGCTAAAGATAATGGAAAAATAAGTAAAATGCACAGGTTAGATTAATGGATAAAGTAATACGTAATAATAATGGATAAAATTTATCTACCAAAAATGAGTGTGCCATATTAATTTAGCCTCTGTTCTGTACTAGACTAATATTTTAGACCAAGTTTAGGCAATAATTCACACATATAGAATTTTCAATAAAGCTTTGGCTAAAAGCCGATATGGGAAATGTTTGTTTAAAATAGAAAAGGTAGAGACTAGTACAAAAAAAATGAAGGTGGATCAAAAAGTAACCCAGAGGGAGATGAGTGAATAATATCTAAAATCGACTACTTGTTGAAAGGCAAGTAACAATTAAGTTATTCTTACATTGTATTTTCACTGATAAATAGGCACAAGTATTCTGGAATGAAATTGTATATGAAACCAAGTTGAGCACTTTTAGATGATCTTAAAAACTGCACTTTGTACTAATTTATCCCACTTCTATTACTTCAAACTGCTGTATGCAAAGACTGAAACAAAAAATGCTTGTGTGACCTTAGAGCTTCACACCTGGCAAGAAGATGCTGCCAGATTTCTCTGAAATAAAAGCACAATAAGGTGGTTAGAAATTAAGTGAAATTCTAGAACACATGAGGCAAAGTGTCTCGTTAGTGCCACTACACAAAGCACAAGAAGAGTTTATCTTGGTAGTACACACAGTTCTGGGCATTTGTGTTCCAGACAACCTTAATCAAGTGGGACTAGATGTAGAAAAGGATTCTTGAATGACTATATTCTGAGAAAGCAGTTCATTTATTTTACTAAAGTGAAGGGCCTTTTTGTGCTTTGCAAATAAACCAGGGAGCAGAGATTGGCAAGGCAAAAGAACTGCGTGAGCCTAACAATATTGTTGGCCCAAGGACAAAAGGTGGAAGTTGTCTGTGAGTAAACAGAGATGGAAATGACAAGATTTCACATCAACAGACTTGTGAAGTTCTGTGGCAGAGTACTCAAGAAAACACAGGACAGGGAGCAGTAAATAGTTTAAAGGTATAGTCTTATTTGTACCTGGAAGATTGTAACAATCCCTCCATGCCAAAGTTAATAATTCTTGAGATCACCTCAGATAATCCAGTTGCCAAAACCATTAGCCAGTCTTTTTTGCAACTCCTGTCTTTCAATTATGTCAAGAGCCTTGTCCCAAAAGAACTCACATGTGAATTTACTAAGAAGTCTGAGAAAACATTACCTGATGTAGCAGACTGGGGAGAAGCTAAAATATATTTCCAGAGACGGGTGTGGACTTTTTCTTTAGTTCTGATTTATTGCTTTGCTAACTTGCTTGTACGTATGTATAATGTTGGTAGCCTTATGAATGAGTTTTATCTGCGTATTGCAGTGGCAGTCGGTTTTGTGTTTCTGAATTACCAGGGCCCTTTAAAAAACCCTTTTGATGTAAGACTGTGCCTAGGGTCTAGGGGAAACGGAAGAGAAACAGTTCTTGAACTGCAAATCAGATTTAATCCTCTAAATTGATATGTGAATGATAAAACTGAGATCTAATCCCTGCTACCCAGTTTGTTCACTGAGATCATATTATTCCAAAGTGTTGTTAGACAGTTTTGTTAGTTGAGTTGGTTTACTATATACCTTACTAATCTATTGCCTTTTTACAAATTCCAGCAAAAAAAGTACTAAAAAGTAGCCTGCAAAATTTAAGACTCTGTATTTCTTTAATACTGAAATTACAAAGCTGAACAAGATTCGATGGTCTCCAGCACACTTGGTCTTAAAAACAAAAAAATTTAGACAGCCTTCTCTAATCATGGAGCGTTATATTTGAGAAGGAAGATTGGCAAACTGGAGAAATTCTTACACTGCTTCTAGTACCAAGGGAGAAGGGATGAATAACACTGAAAATGTTTGGCTTTTGGGATTCCCAGCTGCCTTGTGTTGACTGCAGTTTTTAAAAATTTCCTCCAGCTTTTATTTTTAGAGAACTGTTTTCACTGTGCTTCTCTTTTCCTCGTGTTTTTGTTTGTACTTCCTCAGAAGCAATACACATTTTAAAAGCCAAGAAAGCAGGGTGAGCTTTATTTTTTAGCAGCTGACATGGGAAAAAAATTCAGCCTCTTGGTGGAAAGTTTAAGCTCTGTTGAGTGTTATCAGCCATCTCTAAATACCAGTAGAAGTTCTCGGTTGTCAATTTTCCCTAATTTAGTGAAGTAATCAGCAAATCTGAGTTCTCTAAAATGATGTTCAAGGGATTCATTGCATAATTTGGTCTACAGCACATTACTCAGCTTGGAAATAATATTTTAGAAGGTGTTTGATCTTGGTCCACCACTTACTAAAAAAAAAAGCACACTTACTCAAAAGATAATAGGAATGTTTTTAGGAATGTCAACATAGTTTAGTTTCCTAGGTTATTTTTGCAAGTATTTATGCTCTGTAACTGAGAAAAGTGAGAGGAGAAGATGGTCAGAATATGCTGACTACAACTGTAGTTTTCTAGCAGTGTTTGTTGTACCATGGAAGTAGTTGACAACATCCTTCCTCTGCTCCTTTGTGTTTGTTTGGATAACACATTTAAAAGAAGTAGCTATCAGGAGTTTCATCACTTCTGGAAGGGATGGTCAGCTGGGAAGTTATTTATGTGAAATACAGGATACCCCCATTTGCTGACTCCTTCATTTTTTTTCCAGACACTTTGGCACATGTCTAATGACTACCTTCATTTTCTGTTTATTGCCTGAAACCTCAAAGGGGAGATGGAAATTTCATTTAGTCTTAATATTCATTTTACAATCTGAGGCTTTTTTCTGGATCCAGTTTAGTGCAGTGGAAGGCTGTGCACAGTAGCAGAGTTGCTAATGTTTACACTGTACAATTACATTGTACTGAAAGCTACAGTATCTCAAATGTGCTTTGCTATTAGAATAAAACAACAACTCAATCATCAATGATAATTCTGTCAATGAAAAATTTTCATGACTAACTACACAAGAATATTACTGCTGCAGTGCTGCTAAAAGTCATCCTGTCACTTTTGTGGTGGTATGTCAAAGAGCAGTCCGATCTGTTGTTCCCCAGACTGATGAGATTTTTGATGAAACTCCATACCTTGAAGTGGCCTGTTCAATTTTCTGTTCCATTTTACTTTGCTTGCTGGAGTAAACTGTTACTGGACCAATGCCTGCACCTTCTGTCTAGACTTGAGCTTCATTAATAAGCAATTAATAAGGCTTACACTTGGAACTTTCCCACCATTGCTCTCTTTAGAGGATAATCATATCTCTCCTAAAGGGCAGTTCCTTTGTTCTTGTTACTTTATCTGATAGTGTTCAGCTTAGCTTTCCCAGAACATTAATAATATGTTTACACAGATTTTTGTCTTTCTTTTTCCCCAATGCCAAGTCAAGTGCTTTTCCCAATTACTACCATTGTAATTAGGATGACCAAGGTTTTTAATACACTACTAGCTGTGAAATCATTTTAACAGAGTTTCAAAAATGTTGGTGTGAGCAGTCAGGGCAACTTGGAGTTGGCACAGGATAAGGTGCTTTATCTCTGTGAAGCTGATTATAATCCTGACAGAAAAGTAAGGGCTGAAAATCAAAGGTAGTTTTGAACAAGCTAGTAGTTGAAATTCACTTTGTAGTTCATTTCTGTTACAATGTTGTCATCACATTATGCTACTTCACTGAAACATCTATGAGTTGCACTGGTTCTGCTTTAATCTTAATACGATGGCGTGCTTTACATCCTCCAAAAAGAAGAATTGTTCTTTTGTGAACTCAAATATTTTCTTACTTACTTTTCAAAAAGAGAAAACAAAAAAGCTTCAGAAAAAGTTATGTAGTAGAAGTTTGTAAGATACCCATTTTTCCAGCAACTATTAAAATTCTGCTGCGTCTTTTTCTGGCTTCCTAAGGGAAATCCTAAGAACAACAGTAAGAAATGAAGCTGGCTTCCTCGGTTTTGTATTTCTGTCCAGGTTTATAAGAGGACAGAAACTAGACCAACCTGTTTGTTAGTTGATACAAGTTCTCACTGTCTTTGTTTCAATGTTTAGGGAGTTATGGGTGACCGAGGGTCTCCAGGACCACAAGGCCCCAAAGGAGTTGAGGTAAGATGGAAAAATTATTCAGTCAAAGAAATTATGTTTAAAAGAAAAAATCGGGAGGGTTAAGAGGGTTAGACAACAATGGTTTCTTGCAAAATTTCAAGTTTCACATGCATTTTGGCAAGTACTGTAAAGAGGTTTTAGTAGCCTTATAGGGCTGTGCAGCCATTAGGTGTTTTACTTCAGTTATTTCAGTGGAATCTCAGGTAATATGTGTCCAGAGTTGGATGTGGTTCTTTTAGTTAAACTGAGGAGAGTGGACATGGTACAAAGATAGAAACCATGTACCAATTTAATTACAGTATTCTAGATACACTGAAGTAAACAGTTGGACCCCTATTAACTGAAGGGGGAGGAAGTAGCAGCTCTTCATTTTACCAATTTATTGGGTGTTCTTAATTGATCATCATAAAAATGCGTGCCTCTTAGGCTAAAAGTAATTAACACTAGAAATAAGTTAATCAGTGATTCTGGGGATAGACCTCTAAACTTCTGAGTAACTTAATTATGGGCTTCTGTGACAGTTATTGAGTGATGACTAAGAGTGAACAGTGGCAACATGATCTGTTTAGTTAGAAGCCAGGAAGCTGCAGACAGGATTTCTTAATTCTTGTGTTCCCTATCGCTTGTAATTAAAAAAGAGCTGTGTACCACTTTCTCCAAAATCTGGAGAGCATCTTCCATATTGAGGAAGAACACTGAACCATAAAATTATCACAGCATGAGATCTTGGCATGGCATTGGTACAAATCCATGCTTTGATATAACTCTGTAATGAGTGAACCCTAGAGAGTTAACATTGCAGTTCCCCATCCTGCAGAACTGTATCGGTGCACTGCACAGCGCAGGCACAGTGTCTCATTTCTTCTCCTACACACCTGAGCAACCTCACCCTCAGTCTCCCTCCACCCCTAAGAACAGAGAAGGATAAACCCTGACAAAATGGTTTGGTAATTTAGTGGCTGTGCCAGAGCAACATGGAAAAAAAAAGCAGCAATGTTCCTACTGTATTTATTGTTGTGAAGTGTCAAATGTTGCTAGAAGAGAGTAAATGCAGGGCAGACAGAGAGGCTGACCCATCATTGCTGAGTCTCTCCCTGTTCAAAATTGGGAAAATACTGCTGTAATGGTAGATATACCAACGGTTTCACAGCCTTTCTGGCTGCATCTAGTGGCAACATAGGGCGTGGCTTTCTGGCTAATGATTTTGTCTGAAATCAGATTAGTCTCTCTTATAGTGTTTCTGTCAGACATGGACTCAAATACACACATATGCAACAAACAAGGTAATATTATAGATACAAATAGATATCTGCAGATTTATTTTTTTAAAGCTATTCTTGGCTTAAAGATTACTGAAGTCTTGATTTCTTTTAGGGGGAAGTTGGACCAGCTGGGCCTATTGGAGGAGTCGGCCCAAGAGTAAGTATAAGTAATTTTGTTAGGGCAGACTGTTTTCCAGAAGTACATTTTTAAAAGGCAAATATACTGTGGGAGGTGATCATGTTAAAATGGCTTCTCCTGAATAAATGTGTCTTTTTCCTTGGCACGTGCTCGGAGCAGAGCTGGGAGGAAAAATGGTTTTCCATAGGATGGATTTGAAAGGAAATCAAAGCCATGGTGCACAAAATAAAACTTTTGCAAAGGAAAGAGTCAATAACAAACTGCTTATGGTGCTCCTCTGAGATGAAACCATCATGCACTTCTTAGGGACTGAACAAACTGATGTATCAGAATATTTAAATTGAGGAAGAATCCACCATAAGGCTTAGCTCACAAGGAGAAATATCAAGGGCTGATGCTTTAAGAAATCATTTTCAAACTGATCTGGTAGACATTTGCCAAGAACCGTAAAGATGGAATGTCACACTGCTGTTTGTGCTAACATGTTTTAAAATATAAAGGTTTAAAGCTAACAGCCACCTTAGTTATAAAACATACTAGTGTCTAAGAGTATTTTGGTGGACTTGAAGCTTATTTTTAGAAAAATTCTAAGCTAAAAAATTAATGCTATCCTGCAGTAGGGACTATGGGAGTGTTGCTAAGTTTCTTGAAAGCAATATGATTTTCTGCCTTTTCTTAATTTTCTTATGTGTGGTAATCACTGACTTGGCCTTCATTTTGGATGACTTCCCATTTTTTGCCTGAACTTGGGAAGGTCTTTACCATTGTTTCCTGGTTCTAGTGTGGATATAGTCCTATGTCATTTTTCCTGTTCATTAGCTGGTCAAAGCTGGGAATTTTTCTATCGGAAATAATATTAAAATGCCTATTTGTCTCATGGATTAAGTGTTTAACAAACCAAACCAACCAAACAAAAATGATCCAAAACCAACTTTTTTTTTTTCAGCTGAGGAGAAAAATAAAAATTGAACAGAGTTTCAAAACACTTTGTGACTCAGTTCAATATTGTTTTATGTCCATGAGATTCTGCCAAGAGCCTCATGGAAATTTTTATTTTAGCTGCATCATACTTTAAGTCTCCTCCTTGGGCCCAGCTTTGTGGCTGGATAGCATCTCCCATACTGTGCTGTGGCAACTGGAAAAGGTGCTGCTGCAGCAGGTGACTCATGGGCAGTGAGGCACTGACCTGCACGTTCTCCACATCACTGGGCACACACAGGCCACCATTAGCTGGTGTCAAAGTGACCCAAGAGGAAGAATTTCTATGTAACCTAGCATGCTGAAATATTTTTAATCTATTTTGTGTCAGTTTGACCTAAATTATTTTGGTTTTGATTTCTCTCAATGGGAAATATTCACACTATTGGCATGTTTTATGGCTCCCTGGTTTCTTTCTAACAGCAAGCTGTTTGAGAGAAGAGTATATGGATCTGGTTGGCCCCAGGTTTGCTGTGTCCAGACATTTTTTAGTAGCTTGCTGGCTAATGTCCCCTCCTGAAATGAGAGACAGGGGAAATGGGAATTTCGCTTGATGGGGAGCCTTGCCTGTTTTTTCACCTCATCCTGGGGCCCGTCTGCTTTCTCCTGGATTCTATGGCTTCTGTTGGCTCCAGCCGTTTCACAGCTCCAGGCCAACTTGTTCACACTGCTGCTCTGAACTCAGCTCCCATCTCCACTTGTCCTTGCTTCGCTCCCACTTGTAACACAGACTGATTACATCAGAGAGAGAGTCCTAGCCATGAAGCTGTTAAATCTGATATTGTTTAGCAGTCCTGAGTCAGTAAGCTGCTGAACACATCTGTCTTTTTGAATTATGCTTGCTTGATTGCAGTTTCACATTCATTTGATTTACATAGGCTTTGCTTCCATTTTCCATGAACGGAGTGTAAAAAAGTAAATGCTACATCTGAAAGTATGTGCCATCAAAACTCTGTTGTTGTTACTCTAATTAAATAGCCATGGGGGGTAAGGGAGATCTCTGAGAGGGACCTTAAAAAGTGGTCTGTCCATTCATGGCCCCGAGGCACCATCAGCTATGCCTTTAGCTGACAGATGTGTCTTGAATTTGTTTTTTGCAGCCTCCAGGGGTGAGGATTCTTCATTCTCCTTGGCATCTGCTTCACTCCTTTGCCTGTTTTACAGATGCTTTTCTAATGTCTAGCCATTCTATGTGAAAGTCTTGCTGGTCTTTCTTGCTACAACCCTGCTTCCTGTCCTACAGACCTTATTTGTCAGCACAGTTAATAGGTTAGTCCTCTTTGTAGCCACTGTTATCCTGACTTTCATGGTGTTTGCCTAAACTAGGTGAAGTATCCTAGTAGGTGATAGATTGTAAACCTTTGATTATTCTTACGAAATGGTTCTAGTTCTCTCTTGGATAGTTATGGAGCAGCTTTCTAGCGCTTCGGGAATTCCTCATCTCTTCTACTGTGCAATTTTTCAGGTCGAAGTGTTCAGCTCCCAGTTCAGGTTTAGGCATGTGCCAAGTAAGCAGCTGTAAATTTTCATCTCATTTTTCTCCTCTGCCTCGCCACCTGCCCCCACCTTTGTTTCTAACATTTGTTTTAAAAAACGCACATGAGACCAAAAGCCATGGGACCACCGCTGCCAGCAAAATTGGTAATCCTCTCCTGGAACAGAAAGCGAAAATGAACCTGTGCTCTGGTTCTCAGGTCCCAGCTTGGAAAAGAATTCCCATGTGTCTAAAACAACTGGAGCCAAAACAGAGGACGCTTCACTGCTTACTCAGGATATATCTCAGGTTCCACGGAGCTCAGCCTGTCTAAATTTAGGAAGAGTGGTTTGAGCTGAATTTGATCACACAATTTGATTTTTCATTTGTTTCCAAACCTTCTCACCCATTCTATTCCAATGTCAATTCCTTACATGCTCTTAAATTAATCCTTCTAAATCAAAAAGTGCTGGATATTTTAGTATCTGTTTATTTGTCATGTGAAAATACAGTAGGTGCCATGCTAAAGAAGTAACTGTGTTTATTCAGTTTCCTTCCAATTAACTCTTTCTGAAAAGCTATCCAAATATTAACACTGTAACTGTCAGTGTAGCTCAGCTCAGTCAGTGCAAGCATTGGTGCTTTTTTTGGTATCTTCATTCCTGCAGGAGAAAATGCCTTTAAAAGGGGGAAAAATGTTTTAAACTAGAATGTAAGAAGGAATTGTGAGTGGACTAATTTGAGATACATGAGTAAAAGAAAAGCGGCTATTTAGATCATCATGAGGTGAGCGATTCCTCTTGAGGATGGAGGAAAACCCCCTCAAAGTTGCCTCATTCCCCCAGTGCAGTATCTTGTGAAGGTGGCATATGCCTTCCTGTGGGGTGAAGGCATGTGAGGATCTTTTTGGAGGGATGGGAATAGGGTGATAGTGAGAGATATTTATATTAAAATATACACACCTGTATCAACCCATCATGAAGTGAAAGGAAGCACAGGTGGGTGCTATTTCCTGAAAGGGAAGGGCAGAACTTTCGGCTAATATTTTAGGAAACAGACATTTCCTTTGGGATTACCCTGCCCTGGAAGAGGAATTTTCTCAGGGGTTGACAAGCAGAAAAGCAGCCATCCCTAGTTTAACCTTCTGTCAGTGGCTTTTCCTCCATGTGGAATTTACAGTTGTATTGCATTTCTGTTTAAAGCCACATGTGTATCTTTCAGATTGCTTTACCAGTTAAACCTGCTTGTTCCATTTTCTGATTACCTCACATCTGTTGTGTGTCCTTCGCAGCTAGGACGTAGCTGGGGTTCTACAGCCAAGAAACCTTTTTAAGTTTTAACTCCAACTCACTTCTGATAGGACTAAAATAATCAAGGTAGTTAATAGTTGCCACTAGTTTGTTTTTTTTTTTTTTTTCAATTAATTTATGTTAAACGTTTTTATGTTAGTCTTGCTCTCTAGAAAGACTTTAAGGTTCATCACAGCAAAGTCGTTCAACAGCATGTAGTAACCTGCAGAAGCCCATCACTTACTTGTTCTTTGCTAAGCCTGTGGAAAGACATGACTTGATTTATCTGGGTCTCTCTGAACTTCTCTTCACGGTCTTTTCTCTGTGTATTCCTGGCTATGCCATGATTTAATCAATTGGCAAAAACAACAATCTGTTCCTAAAGCAGTAATATTTGTTGGAACTTGTAGGGCAAAATTAAATCACTCAGGCAGGTAGAGAGAGAATGAGAAAGATTAAAAGGGATTTGTATGAGAAGTCACAGAACCTACTAAGACTATAACACTTTAAGCCATGTAGAGAATTTCTGAGATGACCAGAAACATACACATACTGTGCTCTGAAAGACAGGCACAGGACAGCCAGAGCAAAAGAGCTAAATGGAAAAAAATTCTCATCTTTTTTTAAGAAACTTGATTGTTATCTGTTGCTTCAGTTGCTCTTGTCTCAGAACTACCAATGTGGAAAGGGAAGCTCTCATTACAGAGTCCTGTGATTGCAATTATTCAGTCTGCTGGAAAAACAGCTGATAATTTCCTTTTAGCAGAAATCTGCATCTTTTTATACTGAATCATTAAAATGTTGAATTAATTTTTTTTCTCCAGTTGTCGGGCTTCAGCAATCTCATTAGCAACTTGCTTAAGAGCCAGACCCAGTCCATTGAATGTTTTTCTTTTGAACCAGATTCTTTGTCTCGGAGTAGATGAGGGAAGTGTGTTTAGGTAGTGCTATGCTATTCAGATAACCAAATGTTTAGGCCATGTCTTATGTTGTAGAGGAAAATGAAGGGAAAATGACCACCTGAAAATGAGACATAATTAAGTTAGAAACATCTAACTGAAAATGCAGGGGGGAAAAGCATATCTAGTTGGATCTGTGTGAGTAACAGAAGAGAAAGGGAAGTATGTTATAAAAGGCTTCTAAGATATCATCACTTCATGGCCTCCTGCTCTGATTGATGTTGCTGTGTTTCTTCCAGGTAGCAATATGTTATTCACAGAGTACCATAGCAACAAGATCTATCAGCACCAAAACACGAGTTAGTGGAGAGAGATGAG